AACATAATTGAATGAATGAAGCTCATATGGCAGGATGGTGCCGTTAACTTGCTGTATTATTCTCAACATAATTGAGTGAATCAAGCTCATATGGTATTCGAAGAAAGAACTCCAAAGAACATAATCTCTCCATAATTAGTATTATGGTACATTCTTTCCTGCACCTCCACCGAGCAGAAGAAAATGTTAGAACTTGCCCAACTAGCAAGTCTCTCTCATTTTGTATTGAGCAAGTGAAGATTATTCGTTCATCACGAACGAAATTGCTCAATGAGCTTCATTAGGCTATACGTCTCGGAATCTGGCCTAGCCCCTCCAAGGATCATCCTTTTAAGAAGATTTGGTTCATATACCTTGGCCTTAACATACGTCTTAATCAATGCATTGTAGACAAAAGTATACCTAGTATAATTTGCTTGCTTCAATTCTTCAAACAATTTTTCAGCATTTTCTACATCACCATTGTCTGCAAAAATTTCGACTATCGAAAGTGTAGTCTCTAGCCATGGAGTTGATCGTCTGACACTTGAGCTTGTCGAGAAATCCATCCCTAACTCCAGAGTTTTAATAGCTTCATTTATTAGTCCTGCTTTCATGCATCCAAGAGCAAGATGTCGGAATGTTATAGCATTTGGTTTGCAACCACTACCCGCCATTTCTTTATATAGTCCGGTGGCTTTAGAAATTAGGCCGTATCTGCAATACACAGATACCATTGAATTAAACTGTTCAGTTGATTTCAACCCCTTCTCTGATTTCATTTTAACCCATAGCTCTTCAGCTCGGGTCAGGTCTCCAATCTTACCAAATGCTTCGATTGCAAGCACAAAGCTCTTCGATCTAACATGTGGAAGCTCTTGAATTGTGCCCCAAGCTCTTGCCAGCTCCTTATGTTTCCCTAAATATCCATACAATATTACCAGAATATCGAATGTTGACCAGTTGTGACCTGATATAGACTTCTCAATAGCTTCAACGTAGGACTCGCATACGGTGTACAACCTAGCCACAGCATGTGCAGTGGCCAAAATGCAGTAAGATATCTCGTTCGGCTCAACCATTGCCCGCTTCATATCACCAAGTACCTTTGCCAAACCTTCAATATTGTGTTCGTTAGCTTCTATCTTCATCAGAATATTATAAGTAGACACATGTGGAACCACTTTATCAGCTTTCATCTGTGTTAAAATCTTCACAATAGCTTTCTTGCGACTGGGGTGCGAATGAAGTATAATCAGGCGATTGAAAACCAAGTATGATATGGGATGGCCAAACTCTCTCATTTTTTTCATGTACGCCAATGAAAGCCTTATCAAGCCTTTTTCCAAGCATGCAAGTACGAGATTGTTGTAAAGCAACTCATTTTGGAACTCAGATGGGATACGAGAGAAGAGGCTCTCACCTTGTGAGACTCCGTGAAGCTTAGTTGTGAACTCTAATAAGTAGGAGTAATCTAGTTCCTTTGGCCTGTAGGGCTTCTCCCTTATCACCCATTCCATCACCTGCAAAGATTCATAAATAATTGAGCTCCTATTATCAATTTTTTTTTTTTTTTTCCATTATATTGCTCAAATTCAGGTCATTTGCAACTGACTAGACAATGTAATTGGCAAATAATAGAGTGGGAGACCACGTCCCTTACTAAATGAACGAAAGAAGTTCGTCGTGTGTATCCTCTAGTCGTGGAACTGAAATAAATCAAAATATTTCAAGATTAAAATCTTACAAGAATTGTGAATCTATCGCACCTGGATTATGATTAAATATAATAAATTGAGATAGTATTTTCTACATGCATAATTAGTATTTCTTTATTTTCTGATAGACTGGAAGAGATCTTGTTGTTTCGAGAAACTACACATGGATTTTCAGCACGATCGAAGACCGGAAAAATATTGAATTCAAAGTTAACGCAACATATTAACAAAAGGAAATTTTATCCTTTTCACCTACTCCAGATTTCCGTTACTCTTTGAAGCTTTTAAGCAAACACATAGCATGCATTTTCCAAAAAAAAAAAAAAAAAAAGCCACAGTTTTCAATTAAAACCCTGGCAGAGCTGAACTGTGTGATTCGAGTAAAAGAAAAGGTCAAAAGTATTCAAACCTCGAGGGCTCGCCTGTTGGATTTGAGCTTGCGCAAACGGTTGATAGTGTGAAAAATGTCGCCACTATGAACGGGAAAGCCATTGCCCATCCAGCTCCGGAACGCTGATGAAACTGGCTCTCCTCTTGGTAGTTTCTCAATCCTCCAGCTTAGGCTCTTTGCATCTTCTTCCTCTACTTTTTCAACCTTTTCAGATTCTGAAATCTGGAAACTGGGATTTGATATTTGGGTGCAAAAGTTGAGTTTAGAGCAAAGATTTTTGTGCAATTGCCAAGAAACATTAAGCGTTTGACGAATTGCTGTAAAAGTTATATGCCTTTCACGCAGAATGGCTACCATTACTTGCATGCTTCAATTGAGAAGAAAATCATAGGGGACTCTAATGGAATTCGGTTGTGGATTGAATCGAAATTTTCTGCAAAGGGAGTCAAAACTCATTTTTAAATTACTTATTTTGTGATTTTCAAAGTTAAAAATTTACATCTGGAAGCAATTGTTGTTAAGGAAATACTCAAGGAACAACTAAAGAGCAATCCAACTTGTGGACCATTTAGACAAACTGAAGGACTTTTTTAGGAAAATTCTATTTGTACATAATTATTGCACATAATGATGTCCATAATATGAAGTGACAATCATCCAATTGTTCTTGTGTAAGTGTGAAATTTGAATTAAAGGTTGGATTCAGTGTCACGTGTAATTATAAACACCACTACGTAAATAATTATATACATGTAACACTTGACTTCTTTTTAAGTGAAGGAGAATTGTCACTAGGGGATCTCATCAATACCAATTGCAATGTCCAAAATATCAATTAAAGTTTTTGATAAGGATTAACATCTAAATCAAAATAAACAATTAATTTTAACCATATATTTTATGAATTTCATAATTATTCAACCACACATTTTATTAACTTCCATCGAAATCTATTAAAAAAAAAAATCTGATTTTATCTCTGCCAAATAGGTGCTAAATGTCTCACATAGTAAATCTAGAGGCATTTAAGCTTTGAAACCAAGCCTTTGGGACATACAATAGCACTTGAAGGCCATTCATGCCTCAAGTCAGAATGGCAACAATGAATCTCTCTAGGACGTGAAAAGTCATGACATGGATTCTGACTCTTTTAAGGAAGAAACTTTAAGTAATCAAACAATCAACAATTTCTCATCAAATACTAGAGTTAGAAATATTTTTGATATATTCTCCCAAAAATACATATATTAGATTTAGTTCACAACACTAGGACCATCGTACCTTGGATTTCAATCGTGATATTATGTTGTAACCTATTTGTTGCTACTCCCTTCCAGTATCACACAACACATTAAAGTTGTTACAGTGCATAATATTACTATATACACAATAAATCTAGAACACAAATTTCATGTACCCAACTGATCAAGAATCAAGATGGACAAAAATACAGTACTCTAACGACAGATGACCTCTTCAAGAAGTTCATCGAAAATCACATCCTCCAAATCAAGTGCAACAGTCTCAGATTCCAATTGGAGGTTCATCCATCTGTAGTCGTTTTCCAAATCATAAGCGATTATAGAATCTAGTGACTCCTTTTCCTCGGGCTTGAAATTAAGCAAATCGCCAATGCTTGTGCTGACCTCCTCGATAAAGTGGCTTCTGACTGGCATTGGACGAACGCGACAACTAGAGGACAAGGCCTTCGGATAGTACGGAAATGATTTATCGTATATCTGAATTAACGCCTCATTAACCACATCAAATAGCTGCTGATGATGCCAACCGGTTAATTGAGATTGTTCCTGGTTCCAGTTCCAGTTAGCCTCTACTTCCTCAAACAGTTCAGGGCTCAATGGCTGATCAGATGAATGCCATGCTATGTCGAAGGCATTTTCAACGATGCCTGATTTCTCAAGAATGTGTCTCACGTAATACGAGTTGGAATCAGTCTCTTTCTGAGATTCATTATCTCCAAAATATCTGATATTCGTATCTGAATTTTCAATTTTCTCATGTTTCAGCTTGTTTAAAGACGAGGACGAATCCAGGTAGAAACTCTTCTGATCATGAGAGTGTATTGAAGAATTCTTCTGGTAGAAACAATCACATTCACGATCCAAACCTAATTTGAAGAAGAAAGAAAGACAGACAAACTGTTACTCAAAACCAGTCCTAAAAGTTTCACAATCCATTTTGCTAGAAAAACTGATGGTGCAAAATTCTAGACAAAGAAAGATTAGCACCTAAAGAAAAAAATTTGCGTGTGAGATTGAAACTGTACAATATGCAATAATTAAGCCAGGATCAATACCTTCAGAAATTTGAATATCTCCAGGGTGAGATACCATTTCTCGGAAGGATTTCTCAAAATCTGAGATGAGAAGCATCTCGGGGATGATTCCCGAGTCGTTAGTCACATGTTCCCCATGGGAATCACTTTTGTCCAATGTTAAATCATCCACTTCCTCTACACAACCATCCAAATGACTATCCTCATCCCTCACATTCAATCTTAAGCCGGCATTGTCTTCCATTTTTTGCATACAATTATGTCTATTGTCTGATTCGTTTTGGCCATCGGTAGCCTCATTTGCATCAAGTGGNTTGTTTGTCGAGTGAGAACTTTTAGTACTCTGATCAATTCAATTCATTTTATAATTAGTCATCCCTTAAAAAAGAATCAATTGTAATATCACAAGGAAACTAGTTGTGTACAAGTACTTACAACAAATGCGCTTTCTTGCTCGTTTAAAAGCTTTTCGACTTCACCAGAACCCAGCAATTTTGTTTTGGCACTTCCATAAGCTGCAGAAATGATTAAGAACATTGAAATTACAATTAAAGAAGCATATTCCATAATAACATACAGAACTCAATGCAGTCCTATAGTTCCCGTAAGATTCAGACAGGGACAAAAGTACTTCTATCAAATTCATACGTAACTTTAACTGAACAATTGAGGACAGCGATATTGGAAGAAAAATAAAGAAACGCACGTTGGCTTACATTTTGACTGTCTTCGGCCTTCATATTTTCGGTGATGGATCATTTTTCTGCCATTGGAATGCCAATGATGATAGTCGAGGGCATGGACTAATCCCCACACGCAGCCCGGCTGCTTATCTTCAACTTCATCATCATCATTTCTAATCCAAAAGTGCTTCCCCATTCTCTAAATCCTCTGGTCACACAGAATACTGCGCAAACAAAAAATTGATTCAATATCCTAGAGAATTGAAAGAAAACATAAGGTAGCAGAACGAAGTTGGAACATAAACATTTGGCTGTTCTAAAATTTTGATTCGATTCCTCATGGGAATTTCTCATTTCTTCTCTAATGCTTTAATCTGCACCTTTATTCTTTTAAAAACATAATTACAACAAGAATTGACCTACAGAAAAAACGAGCGTCAACACAATAAAGATGAAAAGAGAATTTTCAATCAAAACATTAACCTTTTACGAAGAAAAATACATACAAATGTTCAATAAAAAGGACTTAAAAAACAACAAAACAGAATAAATATAGGATTGGCCACTTGAATTTTTGACAATTTCAATTGTAAGAAACAGAGATCAAATAGGAGGTTCATTTTTGTTCAGAAGACAATTCATTTAAAAGGAAAAATAAAAAAAAACACAAAACCGTTTAACAAGAAAATTAAAATGAAAGCAGGGGAACTGGGTACTAATGGAACAGTGAACAAGATAATGTATTAGAGAAAAATCCTAACCTTTTCGGGCGAAAACGAGGCAGCAGGGAGGCCAAAATTAAGCTGTAAAAGAAGAGAAAAAAGGAAAAAATCAGAAATTCATGCAGGAATTTAGTGGCTATGGCGGCTGTAGAGATCAAATTCAGATGTATTTATGGAAGTAGCAATTTATAGCATCATGTACGTTATATCATGCGTTTTTATGTGAGAATAAAGAGAAGGGACGGAGAAGAATTCAGGCCCCTTTTACCAGTCAACTATTTTTTATATTCAAGACTTTGAGTTAATACATAACATAATATTAATAAGGCTTTTTAATTATTCAAAAAACAAAAAGAAATTATGGCCCTGTTTGAGCTTTATTTTTACCTCATTAAAATAAAAAATATAATCGTTATTCATCACTTTAAGTCACCATTTTTGAATTTCTATCTTTTGTATGGAGCTCATAACTGTTCTATTTTTCATTCTTATTCTACAAATAATGTGGCTCAAACGAGCTCATAATATTAATAAGGCTTTTTAATTATTCAAAAAATAAAAAAGTCCTTTTGCCGTTATGCAATCAAAAATGGCGATGATCGTCTTTTCTCACATGCAGGACTTATTCCACATTGTAGGCCCCGCTCTTTAAAATATATAGATTTTTACTTAAAACCGACTTTATCAAAACTCAAAAAGGTCAAACAAGTATTTTCATGAACATAATTAATCGCTCCAATTTCAAAATTGATATTTAGTTCCGTTTGATTCCTATTTTTTTCTCTTCTTTTTAATCGCACATATTTCATTAAAATAATATTACACCTAAATCAAAAAAATATTTTTTATTTTTTATCTACACATTTCTTATCAATCAACTATTCTAAAATTAACTTTTTCATAAAAATGGGTGTCAAAACACCCTCTTAAGGTAGAGTATCAAAACAACACAGTAGTCTCCTGGGGCATATCCCAGTGGTGTAACGGACAAAGGTTAGGTACATTCAACATTGTTGGTAGTCACAGCGTGATGATTCGATTTCTAAAACATGGATTAAGACTCTTTGTGGGCACTAGTATACATGCAGTTCTTATTCCTTGGCCTGTTGGGGGCACATCCCTCGATTAACCTCTCTCAGGATACGCTTGGAATGGGGTGGAACGGTGAGAGATGCTTAAAGTTGGGGTTCAACTATTTTTTTTTTTTTTAAGTCAAAACAACACAATACATTTACACACGGTCAACATCTCTCTCTCTCTCTCTCTCTCTTTTAGTTGAGAGAAGAGATAGAGTCAAAGCAAGAAATTCAGATTTTTTTTAAAGCTTGTAAGTGAATGTACAAGTTGGAATTATTTTACTCCATTCATTGACCCAACAAATGGGTATTGGATTAACTTTAAAAAGAGATTAGATTACCAAAAGGATTCAGATCAACCATCGTTGGATCTTTAATTTCAGACAGTTTTAATTATTTACACATACATATATAGCTTTTTTTAAATCAGTAGGATTTTAACTTCTATCCAATTAGGGTTTCTTTTAAAAATCAAAAATTGTATGACACTAAAAGCTGTATAAATTATCTTTTTTCATATTTAGTTGTTGTAGCACGTGAAACTACGTATAAGTTGCATCAACAAAATTAATCACCCAAAATACCTCGTGTTATCATCTATATACATATTATGAATACCGTCGATCTCATCGATCCTCTGTGAAAATATGGATAAATATTGGTGAAAGTTGTAATTATTTATTTATTCTTTTTCTTTTTAGAAATCAATACCATTTTCATTTCCCTTTTATTTATTTATTTATTTATTTATTTTGGTTTCTCCCTTTCTAATTAGTCAAAGTCAAAGAAGACTAACGTGTCAATCTGCTTGGAATTAAATTGTGCCAAATTGGACGATATGGATTACAACATACATATACGAATAATGCTAAAACAACTCCACTAGAGTTACAACCCCAATTTAGATGGTGCTAGATAATAGGCTGAATAAAAATGTGAAATTAATGACTTATTTAATTTCACTTATCATTTAATATCATAGTAACGCCATCTATATTGGAATTATAATTTCAGTGGAACTAAATATCATTATTCTAAATATACTAACGTCACATGTATATATGTATGTACATTAATTAATTTACAATATTTTAATTGACCCAAATCGGAGTTT